TCAGAATTGAACCTGCAAGTTCAGCGTCAAGCTGACGCAACGACGGCACTGCGTGAGCAGATTCGGAAACTTAATGTCCAGGCCAAACGACAAGCTCGGAAAAGCGATGGTGCCGCCCTAGAGACTACTGTTGCCGATCTGGTCCGACAGGAAGTGGAAGAGCGCTTCCGCGGGGTACAAATAAATGCGCAACGCGAATCTGATGCCAATATTAAGTTTCGACAGGAGGTGCAGACCCAGATACGAGATTATCAAAGTAATAGTGATCGCAGTATTCAGGCAGCTGTTGGTGAAATATGCAAGACTATCAGAGACGCAGTACGCGCTGCGACGCAGGAAACAGAAGAACTGAAAAGGGACGGATTAACACAACAGATCTACGGAAGTGACGAGCTTAATGACAGTGGAGATAGAGATGAACCAGCCGCTGACAAAGATCCTGCACTAGAGAAAAGAATGCAAGAAGCCTAGAGAAAATCGTATTTGTCAACAACGTCTATTATCTCGTTAAATACACCCGTCACGAACGCCACCGGTGTGTCCTGTGCTATGAACAATGAGAAAGCTGTGGAGAGAGACTCACTGAACTTGACGGAGGAAGAGACAAAGGATGCAAAGGTGGAAATGCCACTGCTGCGCCAATATCGTAGCCAGGCGTCTCCGAACTCAGTGTCGCTGCAAAGAACGCAATCCCAACATCCTCAACGCCGCTCGCAGCATCCTTCGCAGACTCGTTGATCTCAGAGTGGTGATGTCCGATATCCAGCTTCAAGTACAGGAGAGAGCTGAGCAGGCTGCCCAACGGTACCTGTCAAAGCAATATCGTGCAGGTTGAAGATGTCACTATTACGGACAAAGCTAGGAGGCACAGAGCAAGTAGGCTAAAAGCTTCGAAAGCAAAAGGCATGATCGACACATCGAGCAACAGCAAGTTCAACACACAGTATACTTTTATAACCCAGACTTCTCCTCTTCCTCTGTTCCCTCAACTAATGTTGTGCTGCTAATAAAGTTTGCTAAAATGTCGCTCGTTAGGTCGTCCATCTCGTATTCCATGTCAGGGTCCAACGGAAAGACAAAGCTGGATGGTATGTAAGTGATGCTGCCCCTTAGGGATTTCCTCACATTGTAGTAAGTCAACGAAATCGCGGTTCCTATTCAAGAACGAACACATGTCGATGTTGTGATCGGCTAGGGTCGAGCGCTGTGCTGTTACCATGTTTCCGG